ATCTACGGCGGGATCCTCGCCGCGCAGCCCTGCATACAGAACTCGGCTCCCTCTCCCGCAGGTTGACTCGGTCATTTTGTTAACAAACAAGGTTTTGTTGGGATCAATAAAATAAGGAGTTCTGACCACCGGGATGCACGCAGAAGAAAGGGAAATTGGGAATAAAGATAAAGAGGTGCTACTTTAGCAGTGCAGCTTTGACTATAACCACACTCGCATCCCCGGAGCGCCACCAAACCTTAAATTAGTTTTCGCCTGCTGTGTGCTAGCCCTGATAAGCCCGTAACGTTCGTCTCTCCTGCAGCCCTATTGAAATGGCCGGTCCTAAAGCACAGGCTGACGCCAGCCGGCCTTCGGGCACGAGGGAACGCCGAGGACAGCGGGCCGGCTATGCACAGAAACTCCTGCTACAGACTCCCCGGCCGTTTTCACCCCCGAACAACTGGTTTATATAGGCAGAATTTCACATGAAAGAGACTATGATAAATGGGGCTCTTTGCCTTTGAAACTTTTCATAAAGCTAACGAACACAACCTATGCGAAATGACAGAAGTTCCTATACAAGCAGTTCCAGATCTTCCACCATATAAAAAAGTAAAAATTGTGACTTTAAAGCAACACTGCATTCAACTGGAGTCATCCTAAATAATATTACAGTGCAAGGACACACATTTCTTTAACAAGCGCACCTGTAAAAGCTAAAATCAGAGTCCAGCCAAATTTCCTTTGGGAATAAGTGGCAGGGGAAATGGTCAAACCTTGAATTTAATACAAATCACCTTTCCCAGACTGCAACCCTCCTCCACCATTATTTCAACCTCTGACCATTACACGAGCGCAGTAGAAGAGAATTCAGAAGCCCTCCATGTAGCTAAGAAGGGGCTAAACCAGAAGTCAATCGAAGCCCCGGACGTTATTTTTTTCATGATGTAAATTCCCCTTGGTATTTGATTCCATTATTGGAGGGGACAGAAGGGGAAGGAAGGGGAGTTGGTCCTAGAGCATCCTCATCCCACTTGGCCCCATTTATATTCATTCTTTCTTGCCTACTCCCAAAAAGCCTAGAAGGAAGGAAGGAAAAGATGAGTAGATAGGGAAGGGTTTTTTTGTGGGTGGGTTTTGTTTTTTTTTTTTAAAAAAAAACCAAACATCCACACAACTACCCCTACCCAAAGGATGCACAAAACCCACTCTCCTCTCCCCGATGTTTCATTAAGTTAAGTGCTACAAAGGATGCCAAGTTACGCTGCGGCACCGACACAACAGCACGGTTCCCTCACCAAAGAGCTTTAGGTTAAGTTTCACTCCAGATAAAATTAAAAAGGCATTTCAAAGGGGCGTAAGTATTTTTAAAGACGAATGCAGCTTTGCCTACCTAATTGACTGTTCACAGAAAGAAAAAAAAAAAAACAACATTTTCAGGCTTTCAAGTTCCTGGCTATTAAATCACTTGGGAGATAGACGGTGAAATGACTTCAGAAGGAAACTAGTTTAGACCCAGACAGTTTAGCGTATTTTTGGAAGCTAGCCTTCTGCGTTACAGGCAGAGAAGAAATAAAGGGTTTTTTTTTCCCCCCCATTATCTTGAAGACTGTAAAACAAATAGACCAAACAGGCAGATACATCCATAAAATACTTCTAATGGATTTTGCCTTTCCTTTCACCCACAAGCGAGTGGGGAATTGCTGCTGCCCTTGTTAGGGGCCAGATCTGCACAGGGTGCCCCTACACCCAGCTCCAGGGAAATTGCACGGCAGCAAGCGCACACCCACAGCCGGCCCCGAGCACCCATGGGCGGCCGCCTTAACCTCGCCTTTTGTACGGGCGAACTCTTCGGATGAATCCGAGGGGTTCAGCCATGCTACCGCAGGAGACCAAGCCTAAAACAGGTTGGGAAACAAGAAGGGGAACCCGCAGCAGCCTTCGCACATCGGCGAGGAGAAAAAACCCCCTGAGCCGGCCCGAGGGCAGCGCCGAGCCCCCGGCAGCCACCAGTACTGTGACCCGGCCCCTGCAGGCAGCCCACAATGTCACCGGGACGGGGACCGGGGCACTAACGCAACCCCGGGCAACGCCAGAGGAGC